CGCTACCACGCCCGGCTGATTTTTTGATTTATTGTAGAGATGAAGTCTCGCTGCCCAGGCGAGTCTCGAACCCGCGGGCTCAGTCAATCCACTCACCTCCGCCTCCCAAAGGCGCGGGATTAGATGAGGCGTTGGAGGCGGATGAGAAGGAGCCAGCCAAGCCATGAGCCCCAGGAAGAAAGGGCGAGGTGATGGGGGGGGGGTTGTGGTGCTGGCACAGGTACCAAGGTGGGACCAGGGCTGGCTTGGCTTGTGCTTCCTCTGGAAGGCTGGCTGTGGAATACTCACTCCTCTGTTTCCAGAGAGTCCACGCGGGCGACATAGTTGCTTGGGATGTAGCCCTCTTTCCGGGTGGCCAGGGACCGTGCCTTCCACCACTCCCCTGCCCTAAGGGACAGGGAGCAAAGGGGTCAGGGGCAGAAGGACCATCCTCCATTCCCTCGGGCCTAGCCTTGGCCTAGAAATGCCTGTCTCAGGAAGCCAGTAGGGTGAAGGGCAGGGTCCAGTATGTGCCCATGGTTAGAGGTGAGGCTCTCACAGCCATCCTTACTGAGCCCCCCGTGGAGCATGAAGCCCTCTCCCTGGGCCCACAGCCCACGGGCCTGGTCTCTGGCTCCTCTTCCCTGGACTTGCGACTCTGATGACCATCCCTGCGGCAGGGCCCTGGGCCCAGGGAGACTGAATGGCTCAGATGGCCGAGAGTGGGAAGGAGTGTGCTCAAGGGTCTGACCCAGCGGGGCACTCCTGGTCTCGGTCCCAGCACATCCTCTACCCACTGGTGCTGAAGGCTGCTGATTGGAGGTGGCACTCAGAACTGAGGACCTCCCAAGGCCAAGTCACCCCATGAGTCTGGTCCGCAGGCAAGCCAAGGGCCCTTGGAAGGCTTCCCTGAGGAAGTGCTTTGGCCCGTTTGTCCCAGCCTGGATGTGCCCAGCTAGTGCACAGGGCCCTCTCCCACGGCCTTCCTCTCGGTGACAGCTTGCCCTTCCTCCTCAATACAGTCAGGTGCTCGGCAGCCATTTCCACCCAGTACAAGATAGTCCATCAGGCTCATTGTTGCACAGAAAAGAGTGTGATTGCCTCTAGGAGGCAGGTGTGTCTTGGAGGGAGGGAAGGGGACTCACTCCTCCAGGACCACCATCTGGTCCCCCTTCTGGAAGCTGAGGTCCTCGTGGTGAATGGCCTCGTAGTCATACAGGGCAACCACGACGATGTCCTCGGAACCTGCTGGGAAGGACACGGGAGGGTGAGGATCTGAGCATGTCCACAGCTCCACTCTGCACCTGCTCCGACACCTTGGTGTGTCCGTCTCACGGAAGTCAGCACAGCCAGTTGCGTTTTGCTCGTTTACTAACAGTTGTCCTGAAGTGGGGCTTGGGCAAAGTGCTTCGGGGCAACTTAGGGGCCTTCCAGGGTAGCTCTGACTGTTTGGGATTGTTGCCTCTGGGTCTGACCAAGAACCTGCCCTGCTCCTCTGCAGGACACATGGCCCCACTGCCCCGCCTGCCAGATACTTACCTTCTCTGGGCCTGGCGGGGCTGCCATTGCTGTTAGGCCCCTGTAGGAAGAGACGAGAGAGGTGAATCCAGTGGTGAGTGAGGAGCCATGGGAGGTCTGTGTTGAAAGGGATACCCAGGAGCGTCCTGGCTAGCCCTGTGTGTCACAAGGGTAGGCCAGAGAGGCCTGGGATGCGCCTGACATCACCCAGCACATTAGGGGCAGAACCAGCAAAAGGACACAGGTTCGTGAGTCGTGGCCTCTGCCTTTGGTCTTGGCCATACTGAGGGATGCTGCTGACCCTCCGCTCAACAGACAGTGAGAGGTTGGGTCAGGCCAATAGTCTGTTACGACAGCGTAAGTTTCCATGCAAAGAGGAATTGATACCGAAACTGTGGTGCTTTTGCAGGCTTTTACAAAAAATTTTATTTAGAGTCAGGATCTTGCTCTGTCACTCTGACTGGAGTACAGTGGTACAATAGTCTCCTCAAACTCTTGAACTTAAGTGGTCCTCCCGCCTCTGCCTCCCAAAGCACTGGGATTGCGGGTGTGAGCCACCATGCCTGGTCCCTAAGCAGCTCTTCTTAAAAAGAGGGAGGCTGAGATTCGTGACCAATACCACTTGCCCTTAAAGATACATTATGGAGTGAAAAAAGCCAGTTTTGCAGAATGATAAATACAATACACATATAAAACATATTCAGGTGCATCCCAGGTGCTTCTGTGGACACATACTGGGTGCCTGTGGGTGTAAATTCATGAACAAAGGCCTCCAAAGGTCCACACCAAACCGACAGCAGTGACACCTCTGAGGGTGTCACACTTCTGGGGAGAGACGCATTGGTCAGTAACCACTGTGGCTTTGACTGTAACTTGTGACTTTTTATTTTCAAGGAGAGTGTCTATATGTGTCACACACATATGTAAACAAAAATTTGAATAAACAAGGAAGCACAGAGGGGTGCATCAGACTTGGGAGAGTCACAGAGGCTCTGGGGAGCCCTTTGGGGAGGAAGCCCATTCTGCCATCTTTCTCAACCTGATTAGACCTGGAAGCTCTTCTGTGCAGTTCTTAACACGCTGTCCTCACAGCGATCCGACTGTAGGGAACAGGGAGCACTTCACTGATCTGCTCTGGAGCTGACCCCTGTAGGGGGACCATGAGTGGCTGACGGCTGCATCCCTCAACTCTGACATTCAAAAAGCACACCCAGAAACTGGGAGGGAGCCCTCTGCCCCCTGCGAGTGACAGGCTAGAGAGCCTCAGAAAAGTCTGAGAACTGGGAGCCTTCATCAAGAGAGGGCCCAGGCCCCACAGGAGAGGGGAGGAGCAGACTTGGAGTGACTTGGGATTCAGTCTGTGGTCAGCTCAGGACATCATCAATGTGAGAAGTGAATGTCATTTTGCACTGTATTAGTAGAGGTTGAGTGTTAGAGGAGGGAGGGATTGATTATTCCTTTATTCTCCCATTTGCAGAATCAGTCCTGTGCTAGGCCTGGTGCTTGGAGAAGGACAAGCAGGGTGGAGAGAGGCCAGGAACCCAGGTCCTGTGAAAGACAGCTCGGCAGGGGTGGGTGAGTTGGGATGAGACTCTGGCCTTCAAGCTCATAAGCCACATGGGGCACAGGGAGAATGTGTTTGGGGTTGAGGACGGGTTATGGGGTAACAGGTCTTTCTTCACCTCAAGGAGAAACTTTCTGAAGGGCCAGGAAAGGATACACCCTCACTTTGGAGGGCATTAGGCAGGTGGAGCGCCCCTAGACGTGCTCAGATAAGAGGATGGACAGAGGCCATGAGCAGAGAGAGCTCCAGACTGGGATCCTGGAGGGAAGGCCTGACTTGGCTGCATCCCGGCTGGGTGACCCCAGGAGCCGTTCAACCTCTCTGAGTAGCCGCCAGCCTGGGAGGCGTCAGAACTCCTGCCTCATGGCTCTTGGTAGGGATTAATGACACAGAAACAACTCACTCCAGTGCCTGGAACGTAGCAGGTGTTCAAAGAACAGTGTTGAGGGTTCCAGCTGCCACTGCAGGCACTGGTACTGTCATCACCATAACTATGCTGGTACTGCCATCGTTGCCACCTCTTGTGACTACTGTTACTGCTCTCATGATTGTCATGGTCCACTGTTGGGATGGTAGGGTTACGCCATGACCCCTGCTGCCACCGTTCCACCACTAGGCTACGTCATCAGGCTACTGTGCCTGTCAGTAGGCCTTGGCTTCTGTCTCTGCCACTCTTGCTGCTCCCACTAGTATTTTGCAATCCTGGCTCCACCTTGCACTAACCATGTGGCCTTCAGCGAGTCATTTATTTATTTATTTTTGAGTTGGAGTCTCACTCCATTGCCCAGGCTGGCGTGCAGTGGCACACTCACGGCCACCCCAGCATCGACCTGCTGGGCTCCGGCGATCCTTCCGCCTCAGCCTTCCAAGTAGCTAGAACTACAGGCGGGTGCTACCATGCCCTGCTAATTTTTTATTTATTGTAGAGATGAGGTCTTGCCATGTTGCCCGGGCGGGTCTCAAACCCACAGCCTCAGGCAATCCACTCACCTCAGCCTCCCAAAGCGCTGGGATGACAGGCTGAGCCACTGAGCCCAGCCTTCAGCAAGTTATTGAACCTCTGTGTCTCATCTGTAAAATGGGCATAATAAAACTCACCTGCAATAGGATTGTCACAGGGATTAGGGCGCTTCACTGTAAAGTGCTCGGGATGCTGCCTGGCTCCTAGTCAGCTCTGCACAAGCGTAAAGTGAGCGCCTCTCCCAGCACTTCACCTCTTATTTCCTGCGCTCACTGTTGCTCCTGCCTCTCCTCTTGCTGTCACGCTCCTGCCGGGATGGCTGTTCCTACAATGAACTGTATCTTTGTGATGCTCCTGATGCCGCCCTTGCTGTTGTCACTCAGCTGCTATTACTAACCTGGCCACTCACTACCTCAGCACTGTCTTTGCTGCTGCCCAGACCCAAGGCCTGTGATGCTCACCCAGACCAGGACCCAGGGCAGACAGGCCACGGCCTGGGCTGCAGGACAAAGAGAAGTGACTTCGGGGCACTGTGGGTGGCACGTCATGGCAGTGTTAGTGGCATCAGGCAGCCCCCGAGACACTGGGTTCCTCCCCCACTCACCGGCTTGCCCACGGACGTGGGGTCTGGCACGTGTAGAGGGCTGTGTGGGTTGGCGCCGGTTTCAGTTTTCGAGGCTTTGCCTCCATTCCGGAGGAACTTGGATTTTATGCAGCCCATCCTGCGGCAGACAAAGGGAGGTGAACCTGGGCGGCCCAGAGCCCCACGCAGGGGTCACTGGATGCTGACGCATCTGGGCCTCCTGCCCTCCCTGTCCTAACTCCCCGACCTGCCCCCATCACCTCCGCCCTCCCCACACGGAGCGCACTCTGGGCTTCCTCACCTTCCTGTCTGCCCCAGCACTGGCCCAGAGTTGACAAGTTGTCATTGTCGTGGGTGCCCAGGACCAGGGTGACAGGAGTGTACTCACAAACCACGCTATGAGGATGCAGAAATAGAGCGAGGAGGGCAGAGGGGGGTGGGGGGAGGTGCCACTGGCTCTCCTCCGAGAGCCCGAGCTGATCCATGGCCCTCCAGCCCGCCAGCACCCCTGACCATGTTCCCACCCCACCCCCATCTCAGTTCCTCAGCGGCAAAAACAGGGATAATAGCAAAACCTATAGTGGGAAATAGTCAGCAGTGTCAGGGCAAACAACTCAGAAAAATGAAACTGTTGCTACGTAACACAGCGCCACTTGAGATTAGATGACGAAGACAAGGTCACATAAGGCTTAAACAATCTAGCTAGACAGCAGTCCAGGCATTATATACCTGGCTTTATTTATTTTATTTTATTTTATTTTATATTTTATTTTATAGATAGGGCCTCACTCTGACACCCAAGCTGAGTGCAGTAGCACAATCGCAGCTCACTGGAGTTCCTGCAGCCTTGAGCTCTCGGGCTCAAGCAATCCTCCCACCACAGCCTCACAAAGTGTTGGGATTATAGGCATGAGTTACTGCATCTGGTTCCTGGTATCACTTTATAATTGGCTGATAATGCCCTCCCTCCTTCCTTTTCTCCTCCTCCTCCTCCTTCTTTTTCTTCCTCTCTCTCTCTGATTTTTTTTTTTTGAGTCGGAGTCTCACTCTGTTGCGGAGACTGGAGTGCCGTGGCACGCTCACAGCCACCGCAGCCTCGAACTGCTGGATTCAGGTGATCCTTCTATTCCAGCCTTCTGAGCTGGAACCTCAGGTGAGCACCACCACACCTGGATAATTTTTTGATTTATTGTAGAGGCGAAGTCTCACCACGTGGCCCAAGCTAGCCTTGAACCCCTGGACTCAGGCAATCCTCTTGCCTCCGCCTCCCAAAGCGCTGGGATGATAGGTGTGAGCCACCCGGCTCTCTCTCTGATTTATTTGGTCATTCACTTTTTTTTTTTTTTTTTTTTTTTTTTG